ATAATTTTACTATTGTAATCGTTTAAAAAGAATTTTCGTTTATTATAAGCCCCTTTTGGTAAAGGGGCTTATAATATGAAAATGGTTTTCCACTTATAAAAGTCCAGGTAACAATTTTCAATTTTTTCCTCTCTGAACGAGTTATTCCGATTAGTCTATTCAGAATTGACCGAGTTTTAGAAATACTTCGTGTGCAAACAACTTTTGTTGGACTTGGCTCATCTCGAGAGACCCATACAGCTCGTCACCCGTTACAATGTCATAGACATGTTTTGAAGTACCACAATTGTATTTCTTGAGCATTTTTTTCGACCAATCGACACGAGCCTCTTTTATTGAGCGTTTAGCAAATTATACGGGAACCAAGTCGACCAAATTTTTTTGGCGGCCAAATGTTCATGCAATATTGATTGTACATGCTGGTTCCACTGGTTAATCTCACGATAAGTCACATGACGATCTTACAATATCAGTTCACGCACAGCATCTGTTTTCTGGAACAACCGATTTTGGACGACCTTCACGAAAATCGTCTGAGCCAAGCACGGCCACAATTGAATTCCGTATACCACCGACATACTGATTTTTGATGGTGCTTCATCGCCAAAAGTTGAATTTAGTTCCATCAGACAATTCTTGTCGAAAGTTGTAAAAAAAATCGCACGGAAATGTTCTCGACTTAACCCCATTTTTTGGACGAGACAAATTTTTCAAGTCATTGTATACTGATAAAGTCGAATTTTACGATAGGAACATCGGTTGTTATATGTCACTACCAAGACCGTCCATTCTCGAAATATAAAAGACAATCCTCGTATTACCTTTGACCTAAGAAAAAAAATATAGGAATTGTCTACTATAGATGGTTTTAATAGAATTTAAATATTCGAAGGACATTTTCGAATATGTTCAACCCCAACACCCTTATCTCGGAAACAAAATGTTTCGGCAAACATTTATTTGAACTACCCCCGTAATTTTTAAGTTTTTATCATAGAATCTATTGGAGACGTCTGGACGACTAGTACCTGACCGCCCTGTAGAAGTTTGCAAAAGTAAAAACACAAATTATTTAAAATTTCTTTGTATATTAAAAAAATTGACAATAATCATATATAACATTGAGTTATGACTTTTATTTATTGGCGACGCTTCACATGAATATCATTTTTTCCGATGCACTAATACTTTAATGAATTAATTTAAAATAAGTCAATATTACATAGCCCCGGTCAACTATTGCCTGCCACACACCAACATAGTAAGGCACCAGAAATGTTTATACATATTATAATAATTTAATTACATTGGAAAAAATGTTATTGTTGTTGTTAAAAAATGATAGGTGGCACTGATATTTTTTCTTCGAGGATCCAACTCACCTAGAACAAAACAAACGAATCAAACGAGTTCCCGCAGCGTGATCGCTAAGCGGCAGCGATAACTACCGCTGTAATTTTATCGCTAACGAATTCGCTACATATTTATCGCTACAAAAATCGCGTAAATTGTTAAAAACCTAGCCTAGATCCGTGAATAGTACACCGTTTACACTTACCTAATCACTTTCACCATCAGAATCACTTTCTTCCTNCTCATCTGTTCGACGAACATCATTTTACCCTTAACGTTGTAATCCTGTTTGTACCATTTCAAAATGGATTGTTCTGAGATAACATCCGTCTTGTAAAACAACATTATTATCTTTTGGAACGCCTTCATGAATGTCATGTTGGAATAACAGTAGTCTTGTACTTTCAGCAGAAGGTTCAGTTCCGCGCGGGCTGATTGGCTGAAGGCGGAGAACAGGTTCGTGTAGTACTTCAGGTGGCGTACCGCTTGTTCGGTTACAAGTTCCTGAAATTAGATTAAGAAAATATTTACGAGTTAAAGTATCGCACGAGATGACGTTTAATGTTTACTGCAGTGCGCTCATAAAGTAAATAAAAAATTTCAGTTAAAAGGCAGGCTTTATAATTTATTTTCTTATTTTTAATTATCCATTGTTTGAAAATTACAGGAGTAAGTATTGTAACTGCGACACTATGAAAAGTCGTCAGTTTTATTTCATTTTTGAGAAGATATCTGGTAAAGCTCTTCAATGAAGAAAAAAAAATGGCTCAATTTTAAATTTAAAAAATTTTTGTCGGAAACAGAGTTAAATGTACTTTTCCAATTTCCAACCTGATCCTTTAACAAACTTATGTATTACTTAATAGGGCTCTACAGCAAATAGGCAACCAGCAATACATTTTTATAGATTTTCCTACACAGTTTGTCTAAATATGAATTAATGCACAAATAACAAACAGACTTTCCCCAAGCTAACGCAGATTTTCTATATCGGGTGTCCCATTTTAAAAAATACACGTGAATATCTCTCAAGTTAAGGGCTTAATGAAAACATTTTTCTAATAAAAGTTGTAGGGTTTTGAAGTGGACATCTAATGGTGACCTTGACCCATGACCTTCAACTTCAAGTTGATTTTTCAAATGGAAACATATTTTTAACACCAGAAATCAAAAGAACAGAAAATTTTACATCCGACTATGATCTCGACCATGACTTCAAGGTCATTTGAAGGTCATTTTAGTTTTTGTTGCAAAATTCTACTTTTGAGACCAGAAATGAGAAGAGCGGGCCATTCCACGTCTGTCTATGACATTGATCTTGACCTTGACGGCAATTTCAAGGTCAAGTTAATTTTTCAAATAGAAACCAGTATCTTTCAGATAAAAATAGAAATTGTGGAGAATTTTGCTTCCGGATATAACCTCGACCATGACCTTAAGTTTCAAAAGTCATTTGAAGGTCATTCTAGTATTTTGCAGGCAAAACTATAATCTTGTTCATATTTTTCTTTTTGATATGTGGGGCCCGCCATAATTTTCCAGAATACACATTAACCCTTTGCAGCATGCATTTTTTATTCAAATGTTTTTGAAGTCAGACTAGCTCAGAATTTAGTAATAGTTAAATCTGATACGGCGGATCCAATATGTCGAATACTCGGCTCGCCTTGAGTTTTAACGTAGGTTGAAGTATTTTCAAAGTGTTAATCCATATGAATATTAAAAATGTTTACCAAAAATTGGTCGGCCAGTACATTATTCGGCAAGACGGAAATGAATTTTACAACAAAAAACTACTAATGACCTTCAAATGCCCTTGAAGGTCAAAGTCATAGTCGGATGTAAAATTTTCTGCTCTCTTCATTTCTGATGTCAAAAATATGTTTCCATTTGAAAAAATCAACTTGACCTTGAAGGTCATGGTCAAGGTCACCATTAGATGTCCCCCTCAAAACCCTACAACTTTTATTTGAAAAATTTTTGTGTATTTTATAAAACGGGACAGACGGTATAATGGATTTAGTTTGAAATTCAAATTACTTTTTGGTGTAAAAAAAATTTGTAGTTTACGATGCCCGATATTCAAAAGCGATAAATTACAAATTTCTTTACAACAAAATATAATTTGAGTTTCAAACTAACTCCATTTTATAGAAAATCTGCGTTAGAATGGAGGAAAGTCTGTTAT